ATCCCTTTCTTGTGTCTACGGGGCAAATTTTAAGGACGACGGGCTTTGCGGGCCGAAGGCCCGTTACATCATTTGATTATGTTCTACAGCAAATCGCGTGACAGAAATGGTCGGGCCGCAGGCCCGACCATCGCCGCCGGCAGGCCAAGCAGGCCCGGCCCCTGCCGAACGGAGTTGCCGGCGCAGCGAAGCAAAGCTGGCAACTTCGTTTGGCGGAAGGGCGGGCCTGCTTGTTATATTACTGTAAATAAGTATGTAACCTTGTCCCTTCCGATAATAATTTCTTCCTGGAAAACCGACAGAGCTAAAGGAAATTCCTTAAAATGTTCACCCATATGGGCCGTGAAATTGCGTATATAATCAAGTAAATGATACTTCACAAAAACTTGGGGCTTTTAAGGCAATTGGCTGAGCGATTAGCGAAGCCCAGTAATCCACTGACCCGAAAAGTTTCATTCTGTTTGTTTGTGTGTTTGTTTGTGTGTCTGTCTGTCCGCATGATAACTAGAGAATAAATTGAGATAGCGTTCTGGGAATTTTAGGGTCGTTTTGTATCAGAAAAAGATAGATCGAGTACAAAGATCAGCATTCTAGCTTAAAAATTGACTTCTAAAAAAATCAAAAAGTACAGGTCGCAAAATGTATTTTTTACAAATATTTTTTTATGGGTTCCCAAGGGGTTACTCGTCAAAGTAGACCCAAAAAACTTGTCCATTTTGTTCTATCTTGTACCGTTTTGGCGCAATGGGGCATTACTTGGCGAAAACAACGTGAAAAAGACAAAATGGTCTATTAAATCGTAAAAAAGGCTTCATGTCACAGAATTGTTAAGGGAGTAACACCTAAACCACAGGTCGAACCACACCCTCTTTTGGGCTTAAGGGTCCCTAGATTTTATAGTATCTCTAAAACGTTGATTTTTACATGACACTCTGTCAAAATTTGACCTTTTAATGAAAACCGTTACCGAACAGCAGTCCCTAGTAAAAAGGTCCCGACAAATGGTTCGAGTATGTCAAACTTTGGGCCCGAAAGGCCCTGTTCCCCTATACCCTCTCCATAAGTCGTCTCGGGTGTCAGCGCCGCAGGCCTAGCTACATGTGCGCCAGGCGCGTCACAGCGTGACAGTGTTTCCTGAGATATCACGAAGCCTGTTACGCGAGACGTGGTCTGGCGTACATATAGCTAGTACAAGGCGAGGTAAAAAATATGAAAAATGTTACAGCAGTTTATATTCAAAATGGCACCTGGAAGGACTATTACAACGCAAGATTTGAAAATAAGCGATTTACGACTTACCCCACTTTGCCGCGTGTTTCATTGCTTCGCAATTGTAAATCATCACTTAGTAATTTCAAAGTAAATGCTTCGTAGTTCAAAAGGATCTAAATACTTCCCAGTTCTGCAATGCATTGTTTTGTAGGCACTACAAAGCAAAACAAGCAAAATTTGTTGAAGTACGTACACTAGCTTGCACAGCCCTCTCGTCCCAGTCGTCCAACGGTGACGTCTTCCCAGCAGCATTTATACCATTCTCTGTTATAAATATCGGAAGTTTTGTTTCTTTGGTCTCGTACCTGTTCTTGATCCAGAGAGGCATTTCGCGTAAGACCCACGAACTGCCCTGAAAAGAAGAATTCCTTTTATAACGGAGTATACCTTTTAACTTACAGTCAGAAGGTCGTTTCGTAGAAGCTTGTCTTCTATCAGGGACATTTTCTAAATAGAAATATGGCTAAAAACTGAAATGTTAGAATTGCACATGTATATGAAGTGTATGGACCCTTTCAGCCCATCCCCAGCGAACTAAACTCTGCCGGGGCGGTGCGCAGCTGGCGCACTTTGGGTTGGCAAGTCGAATTTCACGCAGGCTGCGTACCGGCCCGGAGCTTGAGTTTGGCTCGCGTTGCCTGGCAACAACGCAGTCCTTCAGTCGTGGGAGCATGGGAACAATAAAAAGGGCCTATAAAGTGTGCATGGCATTCATACGTTTGCTCACAATAAAGAGAGTTACTTGACCATTGGAAATCTCGTACGGTGTAGTGGTCGGTGTAGCATCAATACAAGAAGTTCTATTGTTAACAACGCAAATTTTAGCAAGTGCTTTGTGAACTGTGAATGCACTCAAATAGTGAATACCACTGAATTATCACTGAAAATCGACAACTGAAGATATCAATTCCCCAGTAAACCGTGAATACTCACAGTTGGCGCTCCCTTGATTGTGTGAGGCTACACACTTTCTTTACATTTGTTCTACTTGTGTGGAAGTTCAAGTTGAAGTCAAACTGTCAATATTCGTGACACGTCATACCAATCCCCCCGGTCTTTGTTTTTCATCTTCGTGTCCGGCGACCAAACCACATCTGTGGAGCCCCCAGGAACAAAGACACACCCCCATAAGAGATCCTGCAGATAAATCTTTGCTACCAGGCACTCCGCAGATAAGGATTTGTTCGCCGGACACGTCGTCCTCTCCCAAATGTGTACCCAAGCAAGCTTGGAATTATGAGTTAGGACGACCTCCTTGCTAAGGGGCACCAACAACCGCCAATGTAAGTGCAGCAAAAGATCTTGTTGGTCTTCTCATATCATGCAACGTCATTACAAACTAGCACTTACGGGGTCCCCAAAACCTCCAGGCCCTTTGCCACCACCACCCCCACCACCTCCAGACGCACTCGCGTTCTGCCCTCCATAAATGTTGATACCCACGAAGTCGATCCTTCCTGAAAGAAAACAAAGAAAATTGCTGATCCAGAATTGACACGGAAACATCTTCATGCTACCAACCCTTGTTTTACCTTTGATTAACTTTTTTTCCTCCTCGGTGAAGGATCCCCTGAATCCTCTTACTGCTTCAGGATAGTCACCAAAGACCAAAGGATCGATAGTAAGACCAATGCCAGTGTTGACGTTTGCACTCTGGGCAGCCACTATATCTTCCCTCATGTCGCTGGCAGCTCGGAAATAAAGAGGTCCCGAACCGAATCCTACCAAACCTTTTTTGAAAAACAGATAAAATACATCTTTTGGTACATCTTGGATTAGGAAGTCGCACCTTCACCCACGCGGCCACCCAGGCTACCTCAGAAGAGGTTCGCTGGAACCCGTAGTAAGGCCACCGGGGCTCCCGGAGACCGTGCCAACGAAGTTCCATAATTCTGTATCCAAGGATCCAACGTTACTTGATCTTGTATCAGTTACAGAAATTAGAAACATTTACGGAATTTTGTAACATTTTAATCAAATTACAGAATTTTGTTCCCATGTTACATGTTTCCATATCACAAGAGACTGATACAGAATTCTGTATCAAATTTGATACAGAATTCTGTATTATTTTTTAGAGTGCACCGTAACAGTGTTTCGTGAGATATCGCGAAGACATGGTCTGGCGTACATCTACCTAGTTTACCTAGAACACGTCAATGTGACCAACATCCATCTTGATTGTAATGTTCTTTTCCAATCTCTAACATTTAAATAAGTTTTATTTCATTCCTCTATATCACAAGAAAATTTTTAATATCGTTATCCTGCATACGTTGACTAAACCAATCAAAGTTTCCGGGTTAAATTGTGATCGCCAGTTTGACTAAGGGAGGGTGGGGTGGTGGGGCACTTAGTGACACACTCTAAAAAAAAGTTACAAGTTCTAGTATCAATTTTGAAACAAAATTTTGTAACTTTGGATGCAGATTCAAAAATTTGTAATGTTGTGACATTATTTTTAACTGTTTAAAAAAATTGTAACCGATGTACAAACTTCAACAATACAAATGCAAATTTTTGTAGCTGTCGCAGGTTTTTGTAATTATTACAAATATTTGTAACATAGTTACAGTTTGTCCTAATTCTGGTATTATTTTTCGTTAACTTGATATAAAAATTTGTAGTATGGGATGTAACAAAATTTTGCATCCACGCATTACAAATTTTTGTGTCCCAAGTACAAAATTTTGTACCATATGGTTCAGAAATGTGCTGTTGCAGACATCCAAAAAGTACCCTGTTAAAAATGGTTTGTATACAAATTTTATAAAATGTTATAAA